TGCCGTATAAAACTCCTGTCCCGGAAGCTGCTTGTAGTCGGCTTTGACGTAGGTTTCGTCGTCCATTACCACGCAGTCAAACTTCGTCAGCATCGTCGTGTACAGCCTCCGGGATCGCGCTTTGGCCGTCGTATTTTGTTTATCATCGCGGAGTCACTACCTTCTTGTAAGTCGATAGTCCGGCTCGTTTTTTGGCTCGATGCACGGTTGTAGACGATAGACCCAGCTTATTTGCGGCATCTCGGAGAGAGAGGTTAGGGTTTCGCTTGAAACTACCGGCAACTCGTCTCAGCGGCTTCCGGTTTTCGATTTCCCCCCGATCCAGACTTCCTGGCTGTCGACAAACGTTCCTCAAACACTTTAATTACATTTGTAACGGTTGATTTGGCAACTTTTAGCGATTTTGCCAACTTTGCGTGCGAGTAGCTCGGATTTTCGCGATGCGCGAGCAAAATTTTGATACGCTGCTCTTCTTGCTTGGACGGCATTTTGACAACTGAAGAGTGAATTCCAAAATCAAAATAGGAGCAACTTTCTACACACACACACCTTCAAAATGAGGGGTGTTCAGGTTTTTTAAATGCAAAATTGAAAGAAATACGTCAAGTTGATATTGACCAAATTTTGACCGTATCACCCTTTATCAATCTCTTAAACAATTAGAAACCTATTTAATTTGAAGATTGGCTGAAAAACGATTTTCCGCAAAGTTGTAGCTGATACAAATTCCCATGAGAATAGCAATAGAACTTGCTAACAGTACAATATGGAAAAAGGCTAGAAGACAATGAACAAAAAGTTTGGTTTTCCCATAGTAATTCCCATATAAACTTCAAATTATTTGTGCCAAGTCAGTTTATTATCAAATGAGTGTGAACTTTCGGAGGCTAATCAGGACCCGATAAGAAGCCGTTTGATCACTAGGAGCGAAAATTTCAAATTTTACTAATACTTATGGATGATGAAACTCATGTTAAGGCTGGCTTCGGACAGCTTCCAGGACTAACATTTCTCTCTAATAAGTATGCACCCACTGGAATTGGTCAGCAAGCTGTCATACAGCTTTTGAGCACGGGTTCAAGCTACGGTATTCTGCTCGAGTGATCGATTTAGTTGCCTACTGGTGCGGTATGCCTGTAAGCCTTCGCTAGTGAATTCGCTGCACTGTATGACGGGAGGCATCATGCTTTTTACTCAAATCGCAATCATTTGTTCTCGAATTGCTGCTGCAATGGAGCAGTTCCACACCAAATGACGAATCGAAAAAAACACGGATTTGTATTTGGATCTTGTACCTTAACATTTCTTAATATATTCTATCACGTAAATGTAATTTCTGATCGCGATGACATCTGAGGCAAAATAGTAGAGAAAAGTTTATTTTTGGGAAAAATACACGCGGTTATTTTTTTTTAAATTTTTAGTGAAAGTTCAAAAATGTGATCAAAAGTTTTCGTTTTATGATTTTTGTCTATTTTAAAGGGTCCATAGTTTTGTATACTCGGAAATTTTAAATTTTTCATAAGTTTTTTTTTGTATTTATAAAAAAAATAGAAAAGGACCATTAAGATTAGAATTACAAAAAATATAATATCGTCTTTATTTGTCCTAAAAATTCAGAATTTCGGTAAACAACATTGTCTCAGATACTATTTTGATCAGAAGTAACGTTCATGTGCTATAAAATATTTTAAAAAATGTCACAGACGCTATTTAAAAAAAATCCAAAATACTCGAATTTTCTGCAAAAATGCGAATGATTACCAAAACAAACATTTATGCACTGAAACTGCTTAATTATGCGCTGCTCTCACATTGCCTTTTGTTACCCGTGACCTCAATCGTACGTGATCTATTGTTCATGAGCATTCCTGACATTGCTGAAAATTATGATAGCATCTAGTGTATTAGAATGCTTCGATTAATCATGAACTCTTGATCGCTGGTAATGCTTGTGAATATTTGAGGTGAACAAGAGGTGAACGCCTTTGCTTTTTCACATTTATATCGCTGTGAATCAACTGAGAATTGTTGAGGGAATTTTTATCTGTACTTGTAACCAGTTCGAATTTGTTTGCTAATCTGGTTAAGATCCCAAGTATCAATTTAGTAACCATTTGGCATCCACTCCGATTTATGATGGTTTTATAACGGCAATGAACTAACCTGTCGGATCCGATAGCTCTGCCGACATGAAGTTTAGGTTTCACCAACCTTTATGGCTCCATAGGGATGACGGGCTTAATGATCAGGCCTTTCTTCACACGCGTCGTACAGTTAAGGTACACATTACTTGAAACACATTACGCGAAACACATTTATTTACGATTACTTTAACATCTATTTATTACTACTTAATCCTAATCATAAGTGTAAAACTATATATGGTTCCCCGATCGAACCGTTTTCACCGGCGAATTGATAGCCACTAGCTTCATCTCCCAGCGACGATCAGGTTGAGCTGCCGTTCGATGTATTTGGGGTTCGTAAGTTCGATCCCGCTCCGATGAACAGATCGATCTCTCGGCCACGATCTCGATAAGAGATAACGGACGATTATCCTCTCCCGCAGGCCGATCGTAACTCACCACCACATAGCCTATGTGTGTTTGGTAGATGTTGCTGAGATGACCACACCATAAACAACGAGCTCCTGCCTATCTGTCCTGGATATAGTGCAGTTGTAGCCAACGACACAAAGAATAGTGGACTGTACGTAGAGACGATGACCATTCCAGGGATGTAGTGCGAGGGGTTCAAGGTGATTTCCAACATCCTCACCCACCCAGAAATAACTGCATTTCTGAAAAGAAAGATTAAAGGTTTCCTCTTGGACAGGGACAGGACGGGATAGGGTACACGGGTAATTGATCCTTTAGGCAGTTGGTTGATGTTCTTCGATGTCTGCTGAAGATGGCAAGATGCATATTTTCTCCACCGGTCTTGTCAGGACACCTCCTGTTGTCTTCAAAGTTACCACACGCACAATGCCGTCCACTCCAGGGTGGATTTCTTGGATTCTGCCCATTTTCCAACGTAAAGGGGGTTGATTGTCATCCTTGATGATCACAAGTTTGCCAGTCGCGATTTCTACTGGCGGGTGCCAGCGTTTCACGCGTCCTTGCAGTTGCGACAGATACTCCTTCCTCCACCTGGCCCAGAAGTCTTGCAGTTCTGGAGGTCAGGCTCGGGGATAGACTGCAAGGAAGCTCCTACCAGAAAGTGCGCCGGAGTTAATGGCTCTAAATCACTGGGATCATCGGAGCAGGTTGTGATTGGTCTTGAATTCAAGCACCCTTCGACCTGAACGAGTAAGGTATTCATATCCTCCGGGGTGGTTGGATTATCTCCTAAAACTCTTGGTGGTGCTTGGCGGAGCGGACAGCCGCCTCCCAAAGGCCGCCGAAATGTGGCGCACTTGGAGGACTAAAATGCCAATGCATCCCTTCCTCTGCGCAGAAATGTGACACCTGTTCGTGATGGTCCTTGTCCTTTAGTAGCCGAAGAATCTCTTGGAGCTTATTGCGAGCTCCGACAAAATTGGTGCCATTGTCGGAATATAGGGCGGTGCACCGTCCCCGCCGTGCGATAAATCTCCGAAGCGCTTGCAAAAACCTGTCCGTAGAGAGGTCGGAAACCAATTCCATATGCACGGCCTTCGTGCACATACACACGAATATGGCGACGTAGGCCTTTACCGCTGCCCGTCGTGGAACTGGTCGCAAATAAACAGGTCCAAAATAGTCCACGCCTGTTTTCACGAATGGACGAGATGCTGTTACCCGAACCGCTGGTAGTTCTCCCATGAACTGGTGTATTGCTGTGGGTCTCGCTCGAAAACATCTCTGGCATTTATGTACCGTCTGCCTTGTCATGTCTCTTCCACGAAGTGGCCAGAATCGAAGCCTCACGACACTCAGAAGCAGCTGTGGTCCTGCATGAAGCAGCCGTTCGTGATAGTGCCGTAGAACGAGTCGTGTGAAATGATGATGAGCTGGGAGTACCATGGGGTGTTTAGTTTCGTACGATTCCTGTGAGTGCTCTAATCGTCCACCAACTCGAAGGAGATTGTCCTTCGAAATCATGGGATGAAACCATCGTAACGGGGATTGTCCTGACACGTATTCTCCCCTTGCTAGCGCCTTCCATTCCTTCGAAAATGCCTTCCGTTGAACAAGACGAACTAGTACCTGTTCTGAACAGCGTAGCTCGGCGGTAGTAAGAAATCCTGACGTACGTTCCTCCCTTGGCGTGCGTAATAGCTTCATGAAACGTAGCAAGATTGCAGTTCGGCGAATCAAATCCGAATAAGACGAAAATTTCTCGATGTACCACTCGATGAACTCTACCTCTGGAGAGGCTATGACTGCAACTGCCGTGCGACGCATTTCCTCGTTTCCTTTTTCACAATTCCAGTTGGTAGGAGCTTCGGGCCATTGATCGCGATCCTGCGCCAACCAACTAGGGCCATGCCACCAAATATTGTTGCAGAGAACATCTTGAGGTAGGATTCCTCGGGAGATCTGGTCCGCCGGGTTGTGTACTCCTGGGACGTGCCGCCATTCTCCTTGTTCCGTTATAATCTGGATTTTTGCCACCCTGTTGGCAATGAAATTACTCCAAGTTGTTGGTGTGGCCTGGATCCAACGCAGCACGCAGGTCGAATCCGTCCAAAAGAAGGCTGGTGCCGATAATTTGATGGAACGTTTTACCTTCTCGTACAGTTGAGTCACGAGTAGTGCCCCGCAAAGCTCCAACCTCGGGATTGTCTGGCACTTTAGAGGTGCAACTCTGGATTTGGACGTCAACAGGTGTATAGCGACCTTCCCCTCTGAGTCCTGACTCCTTATGTACAGGCACCCACCATATGCTTTCTCTGAGGCGTCAGAAAAGCAATGAATTTCCACTGTAACTGCATCGGGAAGAATGACACAGCGTTTGACCCTAACTTCGTTGAGCAGAGGTAATTGTAGGTGAAATTTGCACCAATTCTCACCCACCGTCGTTGGCAGTGGATCATCCCAATCCAGCTTGCTCCCATCCTTATTTTGCAACGTCCACAGGAGCTGCATAAACAGTTTAGCGGTTGTGATAACAGCTCCGACCAGCCCCAATGGATCAAAAAGAGTTGCTATTATCGACAGAACACGGCGTTTAGAGAGTCTTAACGTTGAGTCCAATACTGGAATGTTGAATTGGAACCGGAAAGCGTCTGCCTGAAGCATCCATGTCAGACCCAGCGTTTTCACCGAGGGGTTCGGATCCAGATTAATTCCATTTGTATCGGGAATTGCCAAATTTTCTTCCGCAACACCTTCCAGAACGGCCGGGCGATTTGACGCCCACTTTCTTAGCCGGAATCCACCACTGCTCATCATTTCGTCCAACTGCTTCCTGAGTTCTACCGCTTCCTTGACATTATTTGATCCTGTTATCACGTCGTCCATGTACGTATCCTCTGTTGTTGCCTTGGCCGCCAACGGGAATCGTCCTTCTTCATCCATCGCCAATTGCTTTAGCGTACGTGTGGCCAGAAACGGTGCCGATTTTGTCCCGTAGGTGACCGTGTTGAGCTCAAATGTAGCCACTTCTTCCGCAGGTGAAGAACGAAAGAGTATAGACTGCAAGGGAGCGTCTTCTGGAGTGATGTTGACTTGCTCGAACATTCTCTCGACATCCGCTACGAGCATTATCTGCTTGGTTCTGCAGCGTAGGATAATTGCTCGTATATCGTCCTGTATTACTGGCCCCGTTAGTAACACGTCATTGAGGGAGACACCCGACGATGTCTTGCATGAAGCGTCGAAGACGACGCGGACCTTGGTGGTGGTGCTTGCCTCTTTCACCACCGGATGATGCGGGAGATAGCATCGCTTGACCGAATCATGAGAGGTTCCTTCCACCCTCGTCATGTGCCCCGTTTGCAGATATTTGTCCATGAATGATATATATTTCTCCTTCAGGTCAGCGTCCCTTGCCAACCTTCTTTCCGTACCTAGTAGTCGACGAAAGGCAATGTCCCTTGACTCGCCTAACTGTGTGACTGATCCTTCCCGTTTTGGCAGAGACACAGTATATCGCCCATCCGTTGCACGCTTTACTGTTTGTACGTAGATCTCCTCGCAGCGAGCCTCTTCCCGGGAATAGTTGTGTGCTGCTTCAATCTCTTCGCAAGTCCAGAACCGTGCGACGAGAGCCTCCAACTCCTCAGACGTTGAAATGTTGCAGTTGACATGTAGTGGCTGACAGGATGTAGATAACCCACCGCTCACCACCCATCCGAATACCGATTCGTTCAATGCCGGTAGCTGGTCGCCGAGAGTCATTCTCCGTCCCGTTACGAAGAAATCGAAGAAGGCTTCTATGCCGAGAACCATGTCCACACCCTTGGACACAAAGAACGAAGGATCTGCCAACTGAACGTTTTGTGGAACCGTCCACCCTTGAGCTCGGATCGATGTCGTTGGTAAGTTTACAGTCACTTTCGGAAGGACGAGGAAACCCAATTCCCGCGAAAATTCAGAGACCCGTGATCGTATCGTAACCTGAATACGCTGTTTCACCCTTGTCGTTGTCTGACCGATGCCGGTTACTGATACATCGACTCGTTTTCGATCCACCTTTAAACGCTGACTTAATCGTTCGGTAATAAAATTACTCTCTGAGCCCGAATCCAGCAGAGCGCGAGCTGGTATGAGGTTACCATCATCATCCTCGACGATCAGAACCACAGTAGCTAGTAGTATTTGTGATCCGATGTCATGCGCTGTATTAGACACTGAAATCTGAGCTGCCACCTGGGAGGATGACGAAGACGTTTGAGCATCGTTGGAAGCGGACGAGTTTCTGTCCTTCGCAGTATCCGAAGCTTTCGAGTTACCATCCCTTTCGCGTTTAAAGCAGACCATAGAGTGATGCCTTCCCTTACAATTGCGGCACGAGAATTTGGATTGACAATCCTTAGCAAGATGGCCCGACCTTAGACAGTTACGACAAAGCGAATGAGTGCGGAGAAATGCGTCTCGTTCCGATACCGATAGTCGCTGGAAAGTTCCACATTGATACAGTAGATGATTCGCTGAACACGCTACGCACCGCCCCCCAGACGATTGTATCGTACCGTAGCTTGTTTTCACCATCGGTTTCGGTTTGGCTGACCCTTGTGGTGGACCGACACCCTTGTTGTCCACCGCCTTAGATGGTAGAGAATCCAACACCTGGACACGACGATGCAGGAAATCCGAGAGCCCTTTCAGTGTGTCCTTCTCCTGGGTCGATGAGAACTCCTCCCATCCTCTGCACGTTGCTGGATCCAGACGCGTTGTAAGGAGGTTCATCAGAAGGAGATCCTTGTATTCTTCCGGTTGTACAAGCTTGTCGAGAGTTTGAACGATCCTTTCGAAACTTTCCAGCAGAATATGCAAGTCAGTGGCCGACTCCTTCGAGATACTAGGCAGCTTGAACAGCGATTGTACTTGGCGCTTCTTCAGTAACTTACTGTCGTTATATCGCTTCAACAGAGTATCCCAAGCGATCTGATAATTGGCTTTGGTCATCTGCAGCGAATCGATTATACTTCTAGGTTCTCCCTGAAGGCAGCCCTTCAAATAGTGGAACTTTTCAACTTCCGGTAGTTCGGTTTTCCAGTGGATCAGGGAAGTGAAAAGATCCCGGAAGCTAAGCCACTCATCAATATCCCCATTGAACGTCTGTAGTCTTATTTGAGGAAGGCGTACATGACCAGAAGCGCCCTGACCTGTTGACTCTGATGAATGAATGGATTGATCGTGTACCGATGGTCCAGATTTCACCTTGATCTTGTCGACGAGGAATGACTTAACTCGGTAATAACTGTCGCTGAACTGTTTCCGTTCCTTCTCGTAGGCGTCGCTGTCTTCCGGGAAGTCTTCATGAGATCTAATCCCGATTAGGATTTCGCTGAACCTTTCCCATAGTTCGTCGAGTTTCTGCAAGCGTACCTCCACCTCTGTAATCGAAACACCTTCCTTAAAGCCGTCCGCGAACTGTAGGATGTCGTTGAAGCATGACTGTGTGTCCTTCAGCATCATCTTCAGTGCCCTGAGGGATGGCGGTTTCTTGCCGACTTGCATAGTGGTTGTTCGTCACACACGAGAAGAGAAGACAGTAGCGGTGTAGTATGCTGCGATTGATCCTAGCTTCGCCAGGCATATACTATTCTGTATTTTACCTGGTCGAAAATAATGTTGTTCCCAAATGCGAAAACAAACGATGAAATTAGCCACCAGTCGCAGCAGCTCACATGTGACGTCACGCCTCGTTTCAGTAAGGGATCAATGGAGTCGAAAGGAAATTCAGGATGTAATATCAAGAGAACCTTGGCCCCGACTGGCCATATACTGTTGTGCCTCACCTGGAGAAACAAGCAGTAGTACTCTTCTCGGAAATTAAACCATCAAATCGGAAACCAGGAAATATTTTGCTCACTGAATACGGGCCTCAATCAATCGACTCAATTTACAGTGTGTGAGTAATGGATATGGATACGATCGAAGAGGAAAAAACATAAATCACCAACGTGTAATCTCTGAGCCTAGCTTCGGCTGACATATACTATATTCTACACTGACCTGGAGAAACATAGTTCGATGCTCCCTCTTCGTTATGCGTACTCCGAAATCCACAGATGAGTTAAGGATGCTTCGGTGAACGTTCAGGGTAGAAAAATTCCAAAGCTCAATCCGTTTGGTTGAAGGCGAGTATGGTGTCTTTGCTGATGACTTAGTAGCTTCGGTGGTGGACGACGGACATTGCCTGCGCCAAATCGTACCAAGGCTTTGATCGCGTTGGTCAGCAAGGTATATGCTATGTAGATCTCGACATTGGAATCCTCCAATAAAAGATGACTATCGATTGCAGTACGTAGATGTGCAACCAGAACATGCAGCAGACGAAGCTCGATTGCCGGTAAATCGAAAAGCGGTATTAGCACAAGAATAAGATGCCAGCTTCGGCTGGACATATAGTTGTGGTTCAACTCACCTGGGAGAAGTCCTCTTGCGCTGAAGCCCAGTCCGAAAAGTCCATATGGCGCGATTGTAAAGGCGAGAGTCGATCAATGCGTGCAATGGCTGAATCCTTTGGGTTGAGATAATCGATCGAGATGCGCAATGGCTGAACCTTTGTTCTCAGGGTAGTGGCGCCAACCTAGGCAGCAGGAATGCAGAATGTCGCCATGAACGAAGCCCAATTGTGAAGATACTGCGCCGTGTAGATTTCTCCAAACCTCACCGAACCGGTTCCCCCATCCGGTTCGAAGGACCAAATGTCGGATCCGATAGCTCTGCCGACATGAAGTTTAGGTTTCACCAACCTTTATGGCTCCATAGGGATGACGGGCTTAATGATCAGGCCTTTCTTCACACGCGTCGTACAGTTAAGGTACACATTACTTGAAACACATTACGCGAAACACATTTATTTACGATTACTTTAACATCTATTTATTACTACTTAATCCTAATCATAAGTGTAAAACTATATATGGTTCCCCGATCGAACCGTTTTCACCGGCGAATTGATAGCCACTAGCTTCATCTCCCAGCGACGATCAGGTTGAGCTGCCGTTCGATGTATTTGGGGTTCGTAAGTTCGATCCCGCTCCGATGAACAGATCGATCTCTCGGCCACGATCTCGATAAGAGATAACGGACGATTATCCTCTCCCGCAGGCCGATCGTAACTCACCACCACATAGCCTATGTGTGTTTGGTAGATGTTGCTGAGATGACCACACCATAAACAACGAGCTCCTGCCTATCTGTCCTGGATATAGTGCAGTTGTAGCCAACGACACAAAGAATAGTGGACTGTACGTAGAGACGATGACCATTCCAGGGATGTAGTGCGAGGGGTTCAAGGTGATTTCCAACATAACCCTTTATTCTAAAAGTGTAAAACATTCCTGCTTAGCAATTTAGCTTTTTGCTGTTTTAAGAACCTTTTCTAGTCTGGCAAGAAATTCAAAAACTTTTTTTGAAAATAAATTTCAATCCCTCCTTAAAACTGTTCTGTAATGCAAGCATAAACGTTATTAGCAATTGTTTATTAATGTCTTGATATAATACTTTATAAACGTGTTCTATCATTATAAAAGCTACCATAAAACCATGTGGTTTTGCATTATTGTTTTATTGTTGCTTTTTAGGCTTTTTAAAGTGCATCATAAACTCCCCAATTACTCTGTTTGCGAATTGAGCTTAAAAGATGGTTCCTCATAGTTAATAAAAGCCATATTTATGACAAGGAAATCTCGAGGGATAGACGAAGTAGGATGAAAAATTCAAGTCGATTTCATCAAAATTTACTTTTTTAGAAGAATCAGCACACCATCAACGACTGACCATCTGGCGGAGAAGAGTAAAGTGAGCGTGGCCTCGAATTCATAAAAGTTTGTCGAATGATTAAAAACATACCACCTTATAAAATAATAGATGACAATCGAAATAACAACCGACAGCAAACCACTGACTCTTTTAGTTAGCGGAAATTAGCTGGTTTCCGATCCATAGCAGCGATTTTATTCGGCAAAAAGAATCAACTCTACGAAAATTTCATTCAAGCGTAGATCCCTGCATCGTTGGATGGTGCCTTTCTGTAACCATCCGGAAGAAGGGGATCTTTTTCGGGAACGATTGCGCTTCCAGCTGTTCGAAATACGAAATGTTGTAAAGCAGTATCGCAACCCACGTAACATTGCAAGTTTTATCAAGGTTTTAAAGCATTCTACAAGTCCTAATAATGGTCTACAGAACCTTCATAAAACCCAAATTGTTACTTGGGAAACTATCTGAGTAACTGCTCCCAATCCATCGGGAGAAAACCGCCTGGAAGAACCCTGGATCCCACAGCGCAACTATCGAAAGATAAACAAACTTTGAAGTTTAATTTTTTGCAGGCCATTTTGCCTCCATAAATGCTGCCATAAATCTGAATGGGTTAGGATCAAGCAAAATGGCTTTAGATAAATACAATTTAGCCTGCAAGTTTTTTTTTTCATAAATTGCCATTTTAAAACCTTATGTGAGTTTGTTAAGGATTTCTTGAAAGCAAAACAACTTTTTCACAAATGACCCGTGAAAATCAACTTCAATGCCACCGCCATGTTACAATTATTTGCTTGTTTTCTTACAATCTTCGGTTTTCATTCTTTTTTTCCTGGGATATAACTATATTTTGGTAAATTAAGCAATGAGCAAACATTTAAATGCGAAAATCATAAAAAATCTCAGCCAAGCTTGCTCTGAAGATTTTTTATATGTCAAATCAAAGTTTTACGAGGGCGGACTTACTATTTTCGTTGTTTTCACGTACATTTCACATAACATTTAATAAGGCACATAAAACTAGAACTATTGTTAGCGGCGCCAGTGGTGTAGTGGTAAGCGTGATTACCTCGCACCTCAGCAGCCGCTGGCCTCCGGTTCATTAGTTAATGGGTCGATAGGTAGGGTCCAGGTGTGGAAGCTGTCTCTCTGGCGTCGGTAGCATTGGTGCTCAGCACGGAAAACAAGATCGACGGAAAACAAAATCAAGAAAAAAAGAGAACTATTGAAGTTTGGATATTCAACAAGATTTTTATACCATCGGTTCCTATTTTAATGATTTTGATATGATCGGATTCATAAATCCTTTTCTATCTTGATGGATGCTTTCCTAGTGGATTTAGCAAGCGGCTAGGGGAAATGGCTTGGGAAGGGTTTTTATTGTTGCTAAATAGCTTTTATTGTAGATTTCAAATGGATCTCAATGCGTTCGTCATACAACCTTTGCAGTAAATCAATCTTGAAGAGCTTCGAGAATACACCCTTCAGAACCTTCTCCAGGACGGGGCCAACTAGATATATTCTAGTCTTAATGAGGTTTTGGTGGATGCATTAATGACAAAATAGCCTTGATCAAGGTTTTATGAATGTTGCTTTGTAGTATTTCATAAAACTTAAAATGTTACTTGGGATGTCATCCTGAATTATCTTAAAGATAAATCGTCCAGCTCAAACCTTTGAAGGGTAAGAGGAGGGATCATCATCATCATTATATTGTTCGGTTGGCGTGGTTAGGTACGTGTGATGAGTTTAGCTTTTGCTCATGGTGAAATATGATTCGGTATTCCTGAATCATGGAAAAAGTAAGGATAGTTGGATTATTTTAGTCATATCTAGATCAAATAAGGAGCTATTCATAGGCTACGTTGGGGAAGTGTCTACAACCCATAAAAAATTTCAAAAATGTGTATCGACTAATGTTAATTCTGTTCCGCATTCAAAAGAGGTTACATTTCTAGTTACTTTTGAGACTACTTATCAAGTATTGGGAGCACTTTTTCATACATAATGGGTGTTCAATAAATAATGAGATATTTTTCAGTCATATAGCTAGTAAATTTTTTTTTCGACCAGTTCAGTATTTTTTATTTAAATATAAGGTTTATTCTTCAAAAAAAAAAACGTCAATGAATATTGGAGAAGGGGCCCTGATCAGCCGTACGACGCAACTTATTCGCGATGCTTTCACAAGAGCGCTGGACGGTATTGAAATCATTCCCATTTTTATTGAATACCCGTTAATATGGGCCTATTTAATCGTTGATTACATATGCCTCATTGCTTTTAGTCAAAACGACTATGGATAATTTTGAGAAACAATTATTTTGTTACAAATCCCCCGATCTACTATTTAGGTAATAGTGTCAAAATTACGGGAAAAAGTACTTTTTCGAGTTGTGAAGATTTGAGGAATTTTGTTGTTTTAAAGTTAATTCTTACAAATACACCGCTTGACACGTTTTAACTTTGTTATCTTATGACAATGGAGTTGAAACCTTCGCCTCAGAACTGCTACACAATTTTTTGAAGTACCTGCCAGAAAGTGAGCTACTAGATATTTTTTTTTTCGAAATAATAGCAGTATTTGGTTTGAATTTTTATACTGCAAACATATAAAAACGTTGATTATTTGTTAATGGAGAAAAAATTGTTGAATTACGAGAAATGTTAAATTTCTAAACTTTAAATTGAGCTGAAATGCAGATAATTAAAACTGCTATTGCTTCCAGCAATTTTATCAAATTTCT